ATGTCCGTCAACTTGTGTTGGTTTTTGGTGACCTCTTGGAGCACTGAAGATATTCATTTTAAAAGGTCCTGGAAATATGCAAAATGATCTGTTGTAGTCAGAGGAGGAGGAGGAGGCATGATTGCTTCATCTTGTGACGAGGATACGTTTGTGTTCAGCGAGGTGTCAGGTGATGGGTCAGAGGGGTCCCTTTCTAGGGCTTGCTGTTGGTGGGGAGATGGGGACTGCAGTGGAGGGGAATGCTGCAGTACACAATGGTGTTGCTGAGTGTGGTGGTGTCTGTGTCGAGATTGCCAGGGACTCCGGTATTGCCATCATGGGTATGGCATGGGGGGTGGCATACAAGGGTTACAATACCATGGTGGCATGCTTCTATGCCTGAAATGTAGTGGGTGAGTTCTGGCAAAGTAGATGGAGTGGTTGGAGAGGGGGAAATTATTTGGAGAGAAAACCACATCCACATCCTCTTCAGAGTTGGTGGAAAATCTTTCTAGTAACAAAATGGGTTACGGTGCTAGAATACTAGGAGAACAATCAGTACCGAGGAAAGGTGAAAAGTGGAAGAAATCAAGAGGTCCCTATGTTGCATACATTGCTGTGCTGGCACAGAAGGTGCTGTGGTTGGCTGCACTGATGTTATCTGTAGTGCCAGATGGTCTCAGTACCAGATGGCGAGGTGATTTGGTCCGTGCCATTGTGGTGCCAGTATCGGTGCTGAGTGACAAAGTGTCAGGTTACCGGAGTTTAAGGGAAGCAGTTAGGTCACTACTGCGTCCATGGGGGAATGTTTGCACCAAAAGTGTGTACAAAGGGGGCCATGTGAGGTGTCAAACAAAAGCTTACTTTCTACTGATTCTGTATATGCATTCCATGTATCTGTATAATGTCTGTGTGTGGAGTTATGAATATGTACTCTGTATGGAGAATGGAAGTTTCTCTGTATGCGGTTGAGCAATTGGGCTCAGCCTATGGACATGCTAATTAGCAAGGCTCCAGGGACAATAGGTCTCTTAAGTACCAGAGACCCACCTGGGAAGGAATCTAGGTGCCTGGTCAGAGACCATGTGACTCTCTCCAGCTTGGAAGAAGCTTAGGGGAGGCGGGGGGGAGGGGAGGGAAAAGAGATAAATAGGTCAAGATGCCATCTTGGTCTTCAGATCTGCTCCTGGCCCCAGATGCGGCTTCGTAGGGAATCACGAGCCGGGAAGAACTGTGGACCCATCCTGACATAGGATGTACACCAAAGACTTTTAAACCATCAGTTCTAACATCTCTGCTGCGAGCCTACATGGAGAACTGGGAGATCCGATGCCTGTAATGTATAATATTTTAACAACTTTACTCTCATGCTTTTCTTTCTCTTAGTAATAAACCTTTAGATTTTAGATTCTAAAGGATTGGCTCAGTGTGATTTGTGGGTAAGATCCAGGAGGTAAATTGACCTGGGATGTGTGGCTGGTTTCTTGGAACCGGACAGAACTTGTTTGGAAAAGGTGAGATTGGGCTCTAAAACTCCTCACTTGTGTATGAGGCATGGGGCCATCTGGGGCATGGAGAGAGCTAGGGTGTCAGAGGGCTTTTGCTTATGAGGCTTCTGGCTATCTAGGCAGGCAGCAGAAGTGCTCTGTGGGACTGGTTTGTGGCCTGTTTGCAAAGGTCTCCAGTCTGGGGGCTATAGAGAGCCCCAAATTTCAGCAATTCGCCCTGAGCAGACGCCCTTAACTATGCCCAGACCCAGCTCGGTCCATCACACAAACTTGGCACTGGGATTGCTTGCGGTGACAGCAAAATGTTCTTGGTGCCTGATGGTGCTGCAGAAGCCTGAAGCCTCGGAGCTGAGTTTTGAACTACCTGCTTTCATTGCAAAGCTCAGGAACAGTACTACCATGTCTCTTGGAATCGAACATGTTGGTGAGTGCTGTTTCAGTGCGGAGGCCTCCTGAGTCAGAGAAGACGTTGACTTTTTCTTGGGCTTTTTGGTCCTTTGTGTTTGTGGCTTTTCAGGCAGCTGGCCTGGATTGGAAGCTGGTCAACAATTTCTTGAGAAGAATGAGTTTGAAGTCTCGGTCTCGTCAAGCTCTCGATTTTAAATTTGCACAACCCAGGGATTTTTGAGAAACATGTGCCTTGCCGAGGCATCCGACACATTGTGCATGTCCATCAGACACCAGTATGGGGTCTTCACATGAGGAAAAGAGCTTAAAGCCCAGTGAGCCAGGCATAGAGCCAGCTATTTAACTAAGGGAAGGGATTAACTGGGAGGAAAAAAAATCTTTGTTTTAGAACTATAAACTGTGAACTGCTAAATAACTAACTGAAGAATAAAAATAGACTGAAAAGGGAATTACTTATCTAACATGTGGGATGAGGTAAGGAACACTGCTGAGCTCCATGTCTGGCTAGAGGCAGTAGAGAAGGAATTGGGGTTTGGGGAAAGGGGGTCTTGCGCATGCACGATGCCTGCAAACTAGGAACACACAGCTGCAGATGCGCGCATGCGCGGCTCCTGGTACAGTGCTCTGAAAACTCTGATTGAAGGCTCAGCAACGGTGCACCAACCTCATGTGGAGCACCCACGGGGACATCTCTTGGAGCAGCAGTTAGGGGTGCTTTGCAAAGCAAGAGATCAATTGCTTCAACAACTGGTACTGACAGTAAGAAGGAACTGAGCAGGCAGGGAGTTGCCAGGGACCTATAAAAGTCACCATGAAGGTGCTACTCCAGGCTGACTTGATGGGTACTGACGATTATGCACACAGAGTGAGCACACATCTACTGGAATGGTGAGGAACATGAAGTTGAACATCTGTTTTATCTCATGAAATGGCAAGGCAAGTTTTACACATTCTCAGGGCCGATAATTGAGGGCTGGGGAGACAAAGAGGGCAGTCACTTCAGTTACTGCAATGGGCCAAGGGCTCTGGCCTAGTGCACCACTACCACTACCACTACAACAGATGGGCCAAGGGCTCTGGCCTAGTGCACCACTACCACTACAACACCAGTGGCCAGTGTTCTGGCCCTTCTAATCGCCAGCAGAGTGATGGGTGGCACTGAGGGCCGGCTAGGGGAGGCATGGTGTCAGTGGGCAGGAAGGGGGGGAAATGAGGGCTGCCTGAGGCCTTCAACCAAAAGCTCTGTTCCTTCCAGGGGACCCAGAGTCGAAGCCCCACCATTTCCCAGGGCCCAGTGAAGTCTGTCACCAGTCTGGTCCATTGTCAAGGCTGCTGAGCTAGACATAAAGTTAACATTATACTAACATCTTCAGTTTTAAAACAACTTATTTTATAATCATTTTAGATTTTAGAAATAAACTAGAACCTCAGAGTTACAAACATGAGCGTTACAAACTGAATGGCCAACCACACCCCTCACTTGGAAATGGAAATACTAATTCGGGCAGCAGCAGAGACCAAACACAGAAACAAAAACACCCCTGCAAATCGAAGTACACTACAGTGTTAAATGTGAACTACTAAAACAATAAAGGGAAATAAAAAAAAAAAATCTGACAAAGTAAGAACTGTTTCTGTCTTTGCTTCATTTAATTTAAGATTAAAAGCAGAATTTTTTCTGCATAATAAAATTTCAATGCAGCATTAAGTCAATGTTCAATTGTAAATTTTTGAAAGGACAACCATAATGTTTTGGCCAGCATTATGAACATACAAACTATCTCCATTCCTGAGATGATTATTACTCTGAGGTTCTACTGTACTTTTAAATATAAGGATTTTTAATGATTTAAAAAAAAACTATTGTGGGGATCTGTCTGCTTCCCTGTTTTTACAGGTTTTTTTTCTTTTCCAGATGGAGAAAAATTGGCTATAAAATCAGAAATAAAAAAAAGAATTACGCAAAGTGCTGACAAATACACTGAAGCTGAGAAACTCTCTCACACACACACACACACACACACACACACACAGATATTTAGATATTACTAGTGTTGATACAAGTTTTTCAGATGCTTTTTTCCCCTTTTTTAAAATATGACATCCCTTCAATTGATTTGTACAAGTCTCAGGGAAAGAATCGTATCATCCTGTTCACTGCACGGACCCAAGAGGAACAACTGCCTTTAGCATATGGTATGTTACTGCTAATTAACTCCTGACTATTTAGACCCCCTGGAAAAGTTCAAACCTATGCTGTCCTCAGGAAGCAAAATTACAACTCAGGGTAATCTGGACAGTGCTCGTATTGGACAATTAAAAAAAAAGCTGTTTGAAGGTTTAAACTCTTACTGATATTTGCCCCCATTGGCATACATACACTTATACCATTTGTATACTTTCTGTTTACACATCTCCAAAATATATAAATAAATATCAATATGGGCTTACCTCTTGCTGCTTTCTCTCATATTTATGTTATTTTAATATAATAGTAATTACACATATGGGAGCAGAGACATGTTGAACAATTTCCTTTGACTTACTCCTATGTTCATTTAAACATTCCTGAGTTGTTTTAAAAACAACATACAAAACTACAAGCACACACCATCTGGTTCACTTTTAAATAATCCCAAGCAGTTCATTTGGAAAGGTTTGCAAATTAAAGAAAATGGTATTAGTACATAACTCAGTTTTAATAGATTACTCAGTTCATTGCCAGTCCCAAGCTGTGGATAGCCATGTGTTCAACAAAGTTTAACTGTACATGCACAAAGGACATTGTGTACTTAAAAACAGACAACTGAATTACTGAAATTTGGAACAAAAATAATACGTTAATATCTTGAAATGAAATTTGTTGGTAGTTCATTTAACTGGTATATTATGAGTTTTCTAACTGCAGTAATTATTATTTTTCCTCTAAACAGATACATGTTCTTTACTTCTTATCATAATATTTTTGGAAGAAATTTCTCATGGAGTATCTTATATATATTCTAAATTTGCATATAATTATAATAAGAAGTGCACACAGTTCAATATAACATAATAAATAAAAAGGAACAGAATTATAAAGCCATTTAAAAATCATTTCCATACCTGTGGTGTAAGAAATTTTTCTACCCGTTTGGCTAAAAAGATTTTCTCCAATATGGAGTTGACTGATGGTCTATCCCTAGGATTCCTTTTAAATAACTGTGAAAGCAGATTACGTAAATCATAGGAATAGTGCGGAGAAACAGGAGGAAAAGATCCAGAGATTATCTTCAGTACCAGGTTTTTCATGTTACCAGCTTCAAACTATTACCAGAAAGAAAGAAATTAGTATATATTAATAGGTAGACTGTCACGTTAGCACAGCCACAAATGACAATTTACATACACATACCAAAATAAAAATTATTTCATGAAATATTTGAAGGGCCATTATCAAAAGGACTTCTAGATTTCAACTGAGTCATTTGATAGTAAATATTTTTATTGTATACAGCTCTTCCACACTGAAAAATAAGACTACTTTTGGGATTCTGAAGTGTTTTGTGCTTTTTGGTAGCTCTGTAGCTACACTTAACCAATAAAATTGTTTCCAGAGCTGGGCAATGGTAAGTGGTAATAGACTCATAGACTTTAAGGTCAGAAGGGACCATTATGATCATCTAGTCTGACCCCCTCCACAGTGCAGGCCACAAAATCTCACCCACCCCCTCCTAGAATAATCCTCTCACCTATATCTCAGATATTGAAGCCTTCAAATACTTTGAAGACCCCAAGATGCAGAGAATCCTCCAGCTGTGATCTGTACCCCATGCTACAGAGGAAGGCGAAAAACCTCCAGGGCCTCTGCCAATCTACCCTGGAGGAAAATTCCTTCCCGACCCCAAATATGGCGATCAGCTAAACCCTGAGCATGTGGGCAAGCCTCACCAGCCAGACACCCAGAAAGTTCTCTATAGTAACTCCTATCATCCCTCCATTGACCTAGTTACCACTGATAATGAATGGTCACTTAGTTACCAAGATCATGTTATCTCATCAAACCATCCCCTTCATAAACCCATCTAGTTTAATCTTGAAGCCAGATAGATCTTTTGCCCCCACTACTTCCCTTGGAAGGCCATTCCAGAATCTCACTCCTCTAATGGTTAGAAACCTTCATCTAATTTCAAGTCTAAACTTCCTACTAGCCAGCTTATATCCATTTGTTCTTGTGTCCACACTGGTATTAAGCTTAAATAATTCCTCTCCCTCCCTGGTATTTATCCCTCTAATACATTTAAAGAGTACAGTCATGTCCCCCCTCAGCCTTCTTTTGGTTAAGGTAAACAAGCCAAGCTCCCTGAGTCTCCTTTCATAAGACAGGTGTTCCATTCCTCGGATCATCCTAGTGGCCCTTCTTTGTACCTGTTCCAGTTTGAATTCATCCTTTTTAAACATGGGAGACCAGAACTGCATACAGTATTACAAATGGGGTCTCACCAATGCCTTGTATAATGGCACTAACACTTCCTTATCCCGACTGGAAATACCTCGCCTAATACATCCCAAGACCGTATTTAGCCTTTTTCATGGCCATGTCACAATGGCAGCTCATAGTAATACAAAACAATGATTTGAAGTAAAATCCATACAGGTTGCAAACCTTCTTCCTTTTAGTTCAAAAGTCTGGCAATCTGATAGATAGGCAGCAAGGGGAGGAGTGTGTGTAGTTAACAGGATTAACTGATAAACCCAGGCTTATTGGTAAATCATGTAATTGACAACATGTTGACACCCCTCATGGTTACAACACTAAAGTTAATTTTAAAAGCAAGCACATATCATGAAAATCCCTGCATCAGCTCAATTATAACTCATCACTCTGAAATTTGGCACTGAACAAAATAATGAAATGTATGTTTGTAAACAGAGTTGTAATTCCAAAGTATTTCAAAGTATTTTAAAGTTTCTACTTACTGCATGTTTAAGTGTGCACATTTCATACAGAACACAACCAAGAGCCCATATGTCACTAAACAAAGAGAACAGATAAATTAGTATTTTTAGAGTAGAAACTATCTAGAAAAGTGATTCGGAGACTGTGGCTCTTTAAAGTTTGTGATTTAATTAACGAATCATGATGATTTACTATGTTAATAACCAATCAACTTGTACTAAGTAATTAGCTTATTTGCCATAGGCAGGGCTCGACAATTAGTGCAATCTACTCCCCCATGGTGAGTAGATTTTAGCCCAGTACGGCACCACAGCACGATCAGTGCATGCGCAGCGTGCCAAACTGCGTGGCTGGCAAGTGGGGCTCGCCACCTCTTGTCAAGCCCTGGCCATAGGCATATGTATATTCAATCAAACTAAATATTTCTCCATCATGCTGTTTAAATAACATCAGTACCCTAGTAAATGAAACAATTAATTCACTCTACCATTGGTTTTTTGGGTAACAGGGAAACCTACTCTGGCTTCTGAATTACTGAGATCTGAGGATTACTGCACTAGGATTATGTTCGTGAAACCAGTAAGTGATCAAAATTAAGCATTTTTGCATATAGCCAACTGTATTTATTATCTTCCTATTTAAAAAAAAAAAACCCCAACACAGCTCTTCCAAAGATAGCACCACATATTTTGGCTCCAGACTTTTTATGTAGGAATCAAGGACTATTACTTACCTGTAATTGTTGTTCTTCGAGATGTGTTGCTCATGTCCATTCGAATGAAGTGTGCGCATGCTATGTGCACGGTTCCCGGAGTGTTTTTTTCCCCCATCAGTACCTGTCGGGCCAGCAGGTCGCCCCCTCGAGTGCCATCACTATAGCAGAGCATAACTACCCCTGCCGGCCTTCCCCCTCCTTAGTTTCTTCTTGCCCGAGACTCCGACAAAGGGGAGGTGTGGGGGGGAAACGAATGGACATGAGCAACATATCTCTAAGAACAACAGTTAAAGGTAAGTAATAGTCTTTTCTTCTTCAAGTGATTGCTCATGTCCATTCCAATGAGGTGACTCCCGAGCTGAAACTATAGGGAGGTGGGGTTGGCGATACACTGCTAAAGAAACAACGCAAAAGTTATGAACAACCAACCATAAATTTATTTAACATAACATAATAAAGGAACTCATCTGAGGTGTTTATATCATCAGTACATACATTAGCCCTCCCTCCCCCCTTTTTTTGTTAGGTTTACAGAATTGAACTGAACAGCGGGACCCAGAGCAGCATCATTCCTGGCCTGCTGGGTAATCGCATAATGTGCCGTAAACGTGTAAACAGAGGACCGCAAGGCCACTCTACAAATCTCAACTATTGGAACTTGCGTCACAAAGGCTGTGGAGGATGCCTGAGCTCTAGTGGAGTGTGCCTTAATGTGGGGCAGCTCCCTGTGTGCCAGAATATAACACTCCCGGGTACACGAAGAGATCCAAGAGGACAGTCTTTGTGCCAATACTGGTGACCCCTCCATTCTTTCTGCAAAAGAAATAAACCACTGAGATGATTTGCGAAAGTGCTTCGTTCTGTCTATGTAAAAGGCTAACGCCCTTTTTGCGTCGAGTGAATGTAAGGCCTGATACTTAGGGGAGCGGTGGGGCTTCAGAAAGAAAACAGGTAAATAAATTTATTGGGACATGTGAAACGAGGAGACTATCTTAGGAAGGAAGGCTGGGTGCGGGCATAGGTTGACCCTATTTGCGGAGAACACCAAATACGGGGGTTCTACCATCAAAGCCCTGAGCTCGGACACTCTCTGCACCGAGGTTATAGCTACAAGGAAGGCCACCTTAAGGAACAAATACTAAAGCGAGCACGTGACTAAGGGCTCAAACGGGGAAGACATAAGCCTAGTAAGCACCAGATTAAGGTCCCACTGAAGCACTGGTGCCCTCACGTACAGAAAAAAATCTACCGAGACCCTTGAGGAACCTCTTAACCACATGGTTGGCAAAAAGGGATCTGCCACCAACCCCAAGGTGGAAGGCAGACATAGCCGCCAAATGGACCCTGATAGATGAGGTAGATAGACCCTGGTTCAGCCCCAGTACTGGTTATCCTTGACTGCCTCTTTGAGCTGTGTCAAGCAACCCTGTCTCCCTATTGACTTTCCATAGGGAAAACCTTTTCCATTTGGCTGCCTAGGCCGACCTGGTAACCGGCTTTCTAGCAGAACCGCCTGCACACCCTCAGAACAAGCAAGCTCTAGCTCCGTTAACCATGGATAAGCCAGACCATGAGGTGGAGGGACCTGACATTTGGGCAGCACAGGAGACCTTCCTCCCAGGCTTGAGTGACCAGGTCCTGACTGAGCGGAAGAGGCTGCAGCTTGTCCCTCACCATTTCCAGCAGAATGGGATACCAAAAGTGCCTGGGCCGGTCCAGGGCTATCAGTATGACCTGGGACCTGAACTGCTTGGTCTTGGCTAGGACCCTGGGAACAACAGGGGAAAATGTGTACAGCAGGCACCGAAGCCAATCGATGATCAGAGCATCCCCTCTGGACCCCCAGGCCCAGGAATGAGAAATAATGGGGGCATTTCTTGTTCACTCCCGTGGTGAACAGGTCCACCTGGGGATGCCCCTACCTCTGGAAGAGAGGCAAAAGGACAGCGTCCTTCAAGCACCATTTATGGGTTCTGAAGGAGCGGCTTAACGTGTCCACCAGCATATTCTTGCAACCTGGCAGATATGCCGTCTGGAGGTGAATGCTGTGGGCTATGCAGAACTCCCAAAGGAGAACCACTTCCTGACATAACAGAGGAGCGAGACCCTCCACCCTGCTTGTTTATATAGAACAAGGCCCATGTTGTCCATGTGGGAGAAAAATCATATAACTCCAATTGTGTCTATGTCTAAGGGGGGACACTGGAGGAAATCAAAACTCTCTAAAAGAAAACTGCTGTAAGGGTTAAAAGTTTTCCAGACCTCTCTCCCTGTATCAGAGTGGAATCATCTAAACTCTAATCAAAGACCCTTACAAATGCCTATCTCAAATTCATGGATACTCCTAGTCTGTCACAAATTATCATGTAAACTCTTATCTTTGTCACAGTTTGCCTTGTAAGACTACTCACTCCACATTCTCATGTGCCTTTGTTTTGTAAAACTTACTTCTAGCACTCCTGGTGTGAACAGAAATCTCAGAGTACTTCTGCTGAGACTTTGATATGTTAAAGAAAACAATCAACAACTGAACTGTCTAAGCATTCTGTATAAAGGATCCCTAAACCTGTATCTCAAGGCTGACTGCTATTGTTCTCTGGTAGCTGTCAGACTGCATGCATGCATAATAAAGTTCTCCTTCTAGGTTTCTCTCCTGCCTCACTGCTTTGACGTCCAGCCTCGGACCTTTCTGGGGGCTCTGTACCCCAGGGGAGCGAGATTTCCCCCACATCCAGCAGCACTGACACTGATTTCCCTGAGAGATGGGCTAGAAGGACCTTGCAGGCTCTCCTGATAGCCCTCAGTTCCCTGACATTGATATGTAAGTCCCTCTCATGAGGGGCCCACAACCTGTGCGCCATATGCGCGCCCCACCCTTCGTCCAAGGCATTGTTTATCAGTCTGACTAAGGGAACCTTGGCTAGGAAGGAAATCCCCATGCACACCTCCTCCTCTCAAGTCCACCATTGCAAGGAGTCTACCACCTCCTGAGGCAACAACACGACGGAGTCACAATGAGCTCTGGCCTGGTTGAAAGATCTTGCCAACCAGGCTTGAAGAGGTCTGAACTTCAACCTAGCGTGGTGAACTACATGCATACAAGTATCAGAGGGGTAGCCGTGTTAGTCTGCATCTGCAAAAGCGACAAAGAGTCCTGTAGTACCTTATAGACTAACAGATGTATTGGAGCATAAGCTTTCATGGGCAAGGACCCACTTCATGCATCTGACAAAGTGGGTCCTTGTCCATGAAAGCTTATGCTCCAATACATGTGTTAGCCTATAAGATGTTACAGGACTCTTTGTCTACATGTGTACAGGCCGCCATATGTCCGAGGAGCTTAATGCAGGTCCGAGCCTTTTTAAGTGGGGACAAAGGAAGTTCACGCACCATAGCTACTATAGTTCTGAACCTGGCCATGGGGAGGTACGTCCTTCCCCTTCTGGCGTCTGTAAACTACCACAAATTCTATGTCCTGAGAAGGAGTTAACAGGGATATCTTATTGTTTATCAACAGCCGTAGCTGCCCAAAGAGGAACCTCATAAATTTTATATGGGCTAGCACCTGATCCCTGGACCAGCCCCAGATGAGCCAGTCGTCCAGGTATGGAAAAACTTGGACTCTGTGCCTTCTGAGGAATGCTGCCACCACTGCCATGCATTTTATAAACATTCTGGAGGCAGTGAAGAGCCCAAAGGGAAGCACCATAAACTGGAAGTGGTTCTGAGCTACCACAAACTAGAGGAACCGTCGATGGCTCGGCCGTACGGTTACATGAAAGTAGGTGTCCTTTAAATCAAGGGCAGTGTACCACTCCCCTATCTCTAACACCAGAATAATGGAGACCAGTGTCACCATCCTGAACCTCAGGTTTCTGAGGCCCAAGACAGGACAAAGTCCACCCTTCCACTTGGGTATCAGAAAATAATGGGAATAAAAACCCTTGCCCTCCAAGTAAAGCGGAACTTTCTCTACTGCTCCTTTTTCAATGAGCGAAAGGACCTCCTGACATAGGAGGACCTCATGAGATGGGTCCCTGAAGAGGGACTGGGAGGGAAGGAGGGAAGGGGACAAATGCAGAAAAAGGATGGAGTAACCCATGTTTACCAGGCCTAGCACCCACTTGTTGGAAAAAGGCCTGGGAAAAATGGGACAGCCTGTCCCCAAAAGGAAGGGTGACAGTGGGGTCTGGTAAAGGGTCCTCTGGCACACCTTCAAAACAGCTGCTTAACCTCCTGGGTGAAGGGTGGTCCCGCACTCTTGTCTTAGTCACACCATAGGCGTTGATGCCTAATGCATGAAAGAGGGGCCCCTGTAGTACCACTAATACCCCCACTTGGATTACGAGGCCAGCACCTCTTTTGGTCCTGTCAGGAAGACTGAAACCAGGACCTTCCCGACTGTCTAGCAGGTAGCTGTCTCCTCTGGGGGGGGCTGGTGTATGAATGCCCAGTGATCTGAGCATGGCCCTCACGTCCTTCAGGCTATGAAGCCTCAAGTCAGTATGCTCAGAGAAAAGTGATTTCCCATTGCACAGCAGGTCCTGAATTGTGGTCTGTACATCCGGAGGGATCCCTGAAAGCTGGAGCCACGCACACCAACGCATGACCACACCGGAAGCCATGGTACGAGCAGCAGAGTCCACAGTGTCCAGTGCTGCTTGCAGGGCCATACGTGCTATGGTTCTCCCTTCCATGGCCATAGCTGCAAACTCCTGCCTGGAATCCGGGGACAACCTGTCCCGGAATTTGTCCATCACCTGCCACATGTTGCAAGCATGGTGGCTCAGCATCACTTGCTGATTTGCGATGTGCAACTGGACACCACCTGTAGCATAGACCTTACGCCCCATAAGGTCAAGGTGCTTGAGCTCCCTGCATTTTGGTGTAGGCCCCGGCTACCACTGCCTCTCCTTTTGAGTGGCTGCCTGCACCATCAGGGAACCTGGAACTGGGTGGAAGTAGAGGTGCTCATGCCCAGACTGAAGTACCTCTTTTCAGTCCCCTTAAGAGTGGGGGTTATAGATTTGTGATCCTAACCACAGTCTTGTTCAAAGGGAGAGCCAGCTTAGCAGGGGCATCTGCACTGAGGATGTCCACCATAGGGTCTGTGTCCTTGGCCACTGGCTCTGCTTGTACCCCCAAATTCACCGTCAGTCTATGGAGCAGCTCCTGGTGCACCCTGGCATCCATTCAAGGCATGGACGGTGCCGTGTCTGCCAGGGCTTCATCGGGAGATAATAAGGATGGCTCACGAACAGGTGGAGGGTTGTCCAACCCTTGAGAAGATTGGGTGGCTTGGGGAGGCTCCAGTCTGGCAGGCGACGACCACCATCACCTGCCTCTGCAGACTATCCAACCTAGATGGATCAGGGGGCCTCGACACTGAAGTGGAAGGAGTGCTCCTATCGGGCCCTGCCACTGGTGATAGGCCCACGGGGTCCAGAAAGGCCAGGGTGGCTGAGCCTGCAGGGGCCAGGTCTGCTGAAATTCAGCAGTGCCAGGGCGGTGCTGGGAACTGTGCCAGGAAGACTCCCTGGATGAGCCCATGGAGCGCACCGACTCTGGCTCTGACTCCGAGAAATACTCCGATACGGACCAGGGCAGCGCCATGGAGGGCAGTTTGGAGAGGTGACACGGCCTGTGCCTCTCCATAGACTATGGCTTCCCTGCATGGGCTAGCCTTGGCGGTCCCATCAACAGTGGTGCCGTGGCACCAGTACTGGGAATCTGCTGCACTGAACTGGGAGCTGAGATCACCTGCTGTGCCCGAGTCGGTGCCACCACAACATGCAGTGCCGGTGGGAGCTCTGGGCAGGGGGGGCCACCGCCCGGGCCCCGG